TTCCTCCTGAACCGTGGTAAAGTGTTCCTCCTGAACCATGTCCTGCTGAAAAGAGAAAAAAATGCAATGTAAGTATCCACTGAAGAAAAATGCTTAAGTACTTTTATGGCAGCAGTCTGCCACTTGTGCCCACGTGCCCCTTAAAATAATTTTGATTGGGTGACATGTCTCTTAGTCTTTTAAATATAAACAATGGGACCTTAAAAAACAATAGTGATTGAATACCAACACTCACTAAAGATAAACACAGGCACAACCTCAGAAACTGTATATTCCTTTCCACCTTCCCCCAACAGGATTCAGTCTAAATGCAAACTATTTTTAGGCTCAAAAGACTTGCTGGTCGCCATGTCATACTTCTCTGCAATCAACTCTAAAAATGTGCTTTCGGTTTCCTGTAACCATCGGGCTCTAAGGCTGTGCTGTGCTGTGCAGGGTCACAGCCACACCGTGCTATAGAGCATGTCTGAGGAAGTGAGCTAAAAATGTTTCTGTAGTTCTAATTAATTTAAATAGTTTTTTAATTTTATTCATAGAGATCTTTCACATATCTGTTTATTTATAAACATTCGTATTGCATGATGCTAAAAATTATGCAATTATCTTTTTTAAAGATACATTTTTTGTTTTTTGGGGTATGTTGACTCACTTTAGCTCACTAATTACTAGTATAGGAAGCTGAAACTCAGGTCTTGCTGACATATTTCTTATACAACATTCCTTTTGTTAAATTATTAGATACAACATGGGTGGGGAAGAAAACTTACAGGAAGATAATGTTGACTCCAAGCTGGAGGGAGTAATTTTCTACTAGTGATTAATTTCAAAGCAAAGCAGCAGGAATAAAGACAACTGTCTGAGAGAAAAAGACAACATCAATACAACTGGCACTTACTGTGAAAGGATGGATCCTCTCATCAAAAATGTCCTTGGATCTATTTGCATCTCTAGAAAATAAGGACATGATTTTAAAAACTAATCCAAGAATTGTTGTGTTAGCAACACATCTGCTGGGAGTAGAGAGGGGTGGAGGGAACTTAACCTTCAACAAAGAAAGTCCTTCTACAAATTCTTCTCTTAGATCCTGTAGGAATTTTCTGACCTCTTTTTACTCAGCACATCAAGTTCTGTGAAATCTTTTCTACAATGACCAGCCAGAGTTGCCTTTATAAACATTAACCCTTCCTACTAGGCAATGCTAGGCAATCAAATCGGTGGCTAGTCCTCTAAGCTCACATTGGCAGACACAGGAACATTTTATAAAGCAGTAGTGGTGGGCAAGCATTCATGTGAATATGAGATTCCTGTTTTTTTCACTGTTTGTTTTCTCTTATCACTTTCCTATATTATATTCTTATTCTGTATTTTTTCTGGTCTCTTTAAAATAGTCTGAGTTAAAATCTTGCCTTTTTATTTTAAAAGTGAACAGTATATTGATTGTAGAGAGAGGAAGAGAGAGAGGAATCGATTGGCTGCTTCCTGCAAATGCTGGACTGGTGATCGAACCAGAAACCTACGTACGTGGCCTGAGAGAATTGAACCCACAACCTGGTACGTGCTGCCCTGACTTGGAATTGAACCTGCCACTTTGTCGTGTACAGGACGATGCTCCAACCAACTGTGCCAGGGAAACCAGGCTGCTTCTTTTTTTTTAAAGTTTAATTTTCCACACTAATACACTCTGCTCATTTACACAGTGTTTCTCCAAGTGTGTTTTGCAGGCTTCAGTGGTTCCACTAGAGCAGTGGTCTGCAAACTGTGGCTTGTGAGGCACATGCGGCTCTTTGGCCCCTTGAGTGTGGCTCTCCCACAAAATACCATGTGCGGGCGTGCACATATAGTGCTATTGAAACTTCGTGGCCCATGCACAGAAGTCGGTATTTTGTGGAAGAGCCACACTCAAGGGGCCAAAGAGCCGCGTGTGGCTCGCGAGCCGCAGTTTGCCGACCACTGCACTAGACCATTTTCAGGAGACCCATGAGACCAAAACTGTTTGTATAGAAATATTAAGGCACTGCCTGCATTTACACTGACATTTGCAATGACTGTGTAAAAGCAAAAGTCAGTAAAACTGGTCTCTGAGCAAGAATCAAGGCAAAGGTCCCGCCCTGTGCTAGTAGTCATTCTACTCTTCACTGCCACTTGTTGTTGAAAACAAATCTACTTAAGCACATCTTTGATAAAGAATTAACAATGAATAATGCTATTAAAAATTGATCCTTCTTTTTATATTCTGAGTAAGGGGAAGTATGCATACTGAAATGTGGGTGTGTTAAGGAAAAGCACTTGGACTTTAACTTAGTTGTGAGCTGAATGAGCTACTGTTTTCATAGAATAACATCTTTAGTTCATAGTACAAGTGTCATAATCTCAAAGCTGAAAAGTGAGCCTGTCACTTCAAGGAAAATAACTTATACATTTCTTGTCCATTGCACAATTCCAGCTATCAAGCTGGAAATCAAGAATGGAGAAAACTTGTACCTTTTTTGTGAGCTTGACACATTTTCAATACTTAATGGTTTTCTGGGAATAGTGGTGGTGATAATGACGCTAACTAACAAAAGTGAGTTTTGATAAATGTGGACCAATACTTTCCAAATGACGAATGCATAATATTACAAAATTACTTACAAGTAAAAAGATTCATTCAGCATACAAGATATATGAATGGGTACGAATTTAAAAGAGAGCTTATTACAAGTTCATGTAACTAATTTAAGAAACTTGCTCTTGTGGACTTTTAGTACAGTATCAAAAAATATACACAATTTTCTGAAGGCTTTAAAAATATGCCCATAAAGCTACATGAGGCTGGGTCTTCAATTGTTTATTCAAAACAAATTATTGAGATGACTGAAATAATCACAAAGGTGTGAAGACAGGGTGGACATGAGAATCAGCTGTCTTCTGTTACACCAGACATAAAGAGATTTGCAAAATGAAAATAAATGACACAATTTCCACTTGGCCTATTTGTTATGGAAAATGATTCTCTTTTATAAAGAATCATGTTAATGCTATGGCTCCCTATCAGGGGCAATTTAGTCCCCCAGGAAGCATTCCATCATGGAGGAGACTTTTTGTTGTCACAATGAGGCCTGGGAAGAGGGTGCTACTGGCATCTAGTGAGGACAGGCCGGGGAAGCTGTAAACACTCTGCAACGCACAAGGCAATCTGCACAGCAAAGCAGTATCCTGCTCAAAAGTTCAACAATGCTGTAAAAACCATGTTTCAACATACAGGGGGTTTATTTTTAAAGTCTCAATTTTAATTTCTAATACAGTAAATATCAATATAGCCCACATAAACAAATATCCTTTAGGATCCTCAATAACTTAAGCATTAAGACTCTTAAGACAAAAACAAGTGATTCACTTCAATCTATAATAATAAAAGCATAATATGCTAATTAGACCAGATGACAGAACGACCTTCTGGGGCTCCTGTGAGGACCCAGGCAAGCCAGGGTTGCGAGGGCCAAGCCCCTTGCACGAATTTCGTGCATTGGGCCTTTAATAATGTAATAAAAGCACTATAGCCTACTCCAACAATGTTTATAGTTAAAACCTAACACTAACTTCATATCTTGTAAGTTTATTAGCTAGAATAACAAGACAGGTTTTAAACTTACCTGTTCTTTATGTGATAATATATTGCTAGTGCCAGGCTGTGGAGAAAAAAAAAGTAACAATTGACTTTATGTCTTGGCTGAAGACATGTTTTAAAAGGGTTGTGGTGGGAGAAGACCTTCCCACCTGCCAGTGTCCATGAGATCCTCATTCAGGACAGTATCGCATGGGCACTCTTCACCTTGTTCTGTTTCTTTATCTTTTAGCAAAATTAGAAAACCAAAATGCTAGGGCATATTCAGTAAGATGACATGTTTCTGGTGATTATTATAATATATAAGATATTACACACTTCCCCTGTCATTTCTTTCTACTCATAGAACCTTTCATCCATACAAGTTAGATCTATTTGTGCACATGCTTCAATTTAAGCCATATAGTAGTTTTCCACCTGCCCACCCATCGTCTGTCATTTCCATAAAGGTAAATAGAATGCTCTCTACCAAACAGAATCATTCAAGGTCACTTTTACATAATTGTTAGAAAATTTAATAGCAAATTATAGAACCCACAAAATTAATAGTTCTAACAATTCTACAATTAGCGGTGCTAGCAATGCCACAAGTAATACACAGTGTAATATTAGTAACATTTCCAAATTACTTTAAATATAATTTTAATGAGCAGATGTAAGTCCTCAGATACCATGTAAGTTACTATATCCCTAAATTATTCCCAGATGCTGTGTAACATGAAACAAAGGAGTGCTGTAGATTAAGTTCCATGCTTTTCCTCTTTGCCCTCAGTGTCTAATATGAAGCTCCAAATAACTGAGGGGAGAAAATCTGAATTTTATAAATAGATTATATGCTGGAGGCTAATTCCAGCAGGGTCATAATAAATGCGAGAAGTCCTCAAAAGGTTGATGGGCTCTTTCCCCAGGACTAAAAATCTGCATGTTATTACCTGCTGCTGGAACAGCTAAAGGCAGTTTCCCCAACCTGATAATCTACTGTTTACCAAACCTTACCTTTGATATGTATATATGCTTTGCTATAGGGCAAAGTATGTTAATAGGGGTCCAGAGACTCAGAGAACTCAGCTACTAAAGCTAAGCCTTCCCTGGCTCCCCCGAAAAATGCCTCCCAAATTTATATTTCATGTCTAGTTTATTTAATTTACTCGCAGCCTCTTCTCCAGATTCCTGAACTCTTCTAGATGCGTAAACACTCCGGCAGTTATAGAAAAATAGCACTTCTAAAAAGGCCTGTAGCCTTGTTAGCATCAAAGATGGGTACTTGTATAGTGCTTCAAACAGTTTCATCTTCAAATTGATTTTAAAATTACAGAATTTGAAGTTATAGAAGCTGAAAAGAGACAGTGAACTTGTGGTGATATTTAATTCAACAATTCAATTTTACAGAGAAGGTAACCAAGGCTTAAAACTGACTTGCTCAAGGTCCCACCAAGAGTGAGAAGCCGTTCTCCTTCTACACTCTACCAGGCAGTGTGGTTCCCAGGCTTGGCTGTGCATTGGGGTCCTCAGAGGAGTTTGACAAACTGCCTTCTCCCATGTGAGTTGACCTGATTCATCTGGCACTGGGTATGACCTGGGGTTGTTTTGAAAGCTACTCAGGTGATTGCAAAGTGCATCAAAGTTTGAGAACACATGAATTAGGGTTAAAATCAAAATCATCCTGGATGCTTTTCTCCACGTAAAGATGCCTTCCATCCTTCCTCAGCTTATCAGAAGGCTTGTGAGAGTGAGAGAATGTTTGGGGGGAAGAGAAATGGAATGCATGTGTTTAGAGACACATTTAGATAAAAGTTGCATACTTGATTCTAATAAGGCTCACCCATCCCACTGAGAACAATGCACTAAACATTTTTTCAAATCCATTCCTAAGGCCCAATTAGCTCTATTAATATTCTCAGGAACCTTTACTTTACCAATAGTAAATGTACTGAATGATCATTTTCAAAACCTGATGAGAACAAATGAAAACTTACTGGTCTTCAAAAATTAGGCAAATTTAGAGGAAAAAAGCATAACACCCACTTGTCTGAGCAAGGTTAATTTTCAAAACTAGTTTTGAATTATATACTGTAACATCAGACTCTTCTGAACTCAAAAGAAGCTATGGAATGCGGCGAGAAAGGACTTGTTTTTTACTCCCGGATTTAGTGGCCAGACTGAAGAAAAAGACTCAGTGATTGTGAGATAGGTGCCAAAGCTCAGGACTTTAGAGAGAGACGGGCTCCAGTTTTGCTGAAACTCAATTTGATCTCAACTGTTGTTATGAGAGAAGAAACTTACATTATTATGATTGTGAACTGGCTGTTATAATTAAAGTAGAAGTTACTGAGAATTTAATTAGCCAAAAAAGCTGATACAATATAAACAAAATTAAGTTTATAAATAAATTATGTTTTAGGACTGAAAAATAAAATCAGGAATGAGGATTTTAATATTTTCAGGTAGAATTTCCCAAACTGTGTTCTGGAAAGTCAACCCTCTCATTCTGGGGAGACACCAATAATGATCCTTGGACAGCGCCAACGGGATTCAGGAAGCTCTACATCCTAGTTTGGTTTTATTTTGCTCTTAAGTAAGCTTGAAAGTTTCATATTAGGGTGTTTTTAAAGTGCATCTCCAATTGTGGACTATGAACTCACAGAATTTAATGAATAGTTTTCATCATCATGACACTGTTATGTTTGCCTAAGCGTAAACCTGTGACTATGTTTCCAAAACTTCACCTCCCTCATGATTTTCTGCTTTGATTTTGTTATATATGGATCGATATAATGTCTTGAATATGTATTTATATAACTATACACATATGTAACTAAATTTAATACATCTATAAAATTAAAACCTCAGTTAAACAAATTTAACCCTAAAAGAAATTATCTTGAAAAATTGTTCCTTTAGACTGCTTTGATGCATTTTTCCTGGAAGGAGAGTGCATTTCAATATAGAAATAGTGCAGGAAAAAAGAAAGTATGATGGGGGAAATCTGACACAATCCAATGAACTGTAATTGCAGATACACTCTGGTGCCAGTAGGGATTTTTTAATTGTTAAGTGGGTTTCCCTTCTCCCATCCACTCTAAGATTAAAATGGAAGTGGAAATCAATATATAATTGACACCAGTTTTTTAACCTGAGCACTGAAAAGGACAAGCAAATGAAAGTACATATGATCAGGATAAGGGGTCTGTCCCCTATTTGTACTCACCACTGCAAGGTGATTTTCAAATCAGACTGAGAAATAGTGCTGTCTACAAATACTGTAGCACACGAGCTGTACTTTTCCCTAAGGTGACCAGGAGACACCTGAATGGGAAGGGGAATAGAAGAAAATATCACAGTAAGTTAAACCTACAAAAGTGTGTTTTTCCTTGGTTAAAATGTCAAACAATTAAGCATTACAATTGTTCTCATACTCTATGAACTGCTTCAGTGCAATACCATGTGCAGCTCTACAGTAAACCCATTACATGCTCTCACTTCCAACGATGAGAATTGAGGAAGGGGTCATAAAATGCTGCCCTTGACATACTACCTATAATCCAACTTGGCAAACACCTATGATAAATTCCCTTTATAACAATGTAAAACATTTAAAGTAAGATTTCAGTGTTTTTTTTTTCCTTAAGAAATGAAAACTGCCGAGATTTCTACTTCTACTATTTATTTTCTACATTAAGACATACTGCCTTCTATAATATTGAAGCAAGAGCATTTACATGAAAGCCAATAACAAATGTTAGTTCAGGAGGCAGTGTGACAAAACACATGTATCTGAGGCAGAGGTGTGTGTGTGCTGGGGCTGGCCTGCGGCTCACAAGTTAGGGGACCAGAGGTCTCTCTGGGCCTCAGTTTCCTTACCTTGAGAATTAAAAAGTATTGTTTTAAGATTCTCTCACATCCAAAAACAGATCAAACACCTCTGAGAATTTAACTCTCCCTTCATGTTGAAATAAGACTATCATTACATTCCTCCAAAGAGAACCTCAGAGAATGCTTCCCATGATATTAAGATTTCTATTCCCTGAGCTACATGACACTTATCGGGACCCTGCCTCACTCAGATGCTCTCTCTGACTATCAGGCCTTTTGCTTCCTCCTTTTCCCAGCAAGGTTAACCCCGCTTCCCATCTACCTCCAGGACACCTCTGCCAGCAGCCACACGAAACAATGCTCCCTTTCTCTGCACTCACACACCTGAGTTACTACTTGCTACACGGTATCAACTGCTTCCAGGGCATCCCCCTCATAACAAGTGAGCTTCTCTAGTGAAGGCAGGACTTCCCCTCCTCTTCTACCTCCAATTGCTGAGCACAGAATCTGGGGCAAATTAGAGTGCGACAAGTGTTTGACCAATTATCTAAAATCCATAGCAACTGGAAGGTAAATCCTACTACTGATACAAATTAGATTAGAATTTGCCTGCAGTGGTGTCACAGAGATGTGCACCGGACCTCTAGTGTAAAATAAAACTATGGCATAAAAAGAAAAAATTAATGTGAGTGGTAAAATTCAGAAGCACATAAAAGCGTAAAATAATAAATATTGCCCTGGCATGCTTGGTTCTGTGGTCAGAGTGTTGGCCTTCATATCAAAAGGAAGTGGGTTTGATTCCTAGTCAAGGGCAAGTACCTGGGTTGTGGGTTCAGTCCCTACTCCTGGTCAGGGCGCGTTTGGGAGGCAGCCAGTTGATGTGTCTCTCTCACATTGATGTTTCTCTTTCTCTCCCCCTCTACCCTTCCACCCTGCTACTCTCTCTGAAAAAAATATCTTAAGGTTAGGATTAAAAATATACAAATAAAAAAATAACTCCACCCTACACAGGCAAAACATTACATTGGTAAAAGAATGAAATGCTATAAAAAAAATGACAGGACATAAGAGAAAAGGTGCATACCAAAACATACCAAAAACTTTCAGAATCCTAGGAATAGAGAAGCTTCTAAATGTATCCAGAGAAGAAAGGGTGGGGCAAATTACTAAAATTGGTAATACACAATGTATCATACAGGTTTAAGAGCAACACTGTAATGAGAAAATAGTAGAAATATCTTTACAACTGCAAAAATTAATTTCAACCTAGAATTCTCTGCTTTATTAAATAGGAGGCATTTCAGAGAGGCTAGATCTCTAAACAATTTCTGCCCATGTATCCTTTCCCAGGAAAAAGTGTGCCAGTGAAACAAGGGAGTATAAAAAGACAGAGGAAGACATACAACACAGGAAACAGATTTACAAGCAGTGTACCACGCCACACACTGGTGTGCAGCCACTCCAGCCAAAATCCTGCTGCCCCACCCGGAGACCTGCAGACCCTAAGACCTCCACCTCCAAGGGTGCACGGCTCCCGCAGCAGTAAGTGCGACCTCCCCCCTCCCCAGCTACAGACCTCCATACCCACAATCGCGCTTTTCCAGTGTGTGGGCCTCCTGAGCCCACCGATTCACAGGCCACTCTTGGTTGCTGCTGTGAGCCCCCACTGGGTATACACTTATACAAACAAGGAAACACTGCCCTGGCAGTAGAAATTCTAAATTCCCCCTTCCTGGATACCTGCCCACATACACCTTGGTCACGTGGCTTCAGCTCCAGGACCCCTCTGAGTGTGTGAGTGCGCCGCCCTGGCAAACAGACCACGGGTGCCTCAGTGAGCCACCACTGGGCGTGCACGAATCCAACCAAGGACACAAGGCCCTGGCAGTAGAAATATGGACTTCCGCCACTCCTGGTTGCCTGCCCACAGACACCTCAGTCATGTGGCTTCAGCGCAAGCACCTCTCTGAGTGCACCACACTGGCAAACGGCCCCGGGGTACCTATGTGAGCCGCCACTGGGTGCATGCGAATACAACCAAGGGCTCAAGAACCCAGCAGCAAAAACTGAGTCTTCCCACTCCACAGCTATCAACCTCTGGACAGCACAGTCATGCTTGTCCAGAGTGCAGGCCTCCTAAGCCCAAGGCCGCAAAGGGGGATCTTGGGTGCCTCTGTGAGCATCCACTGGGCGCACTCATATCCAAACAAGGGCACATAGCCCCGGCAGTAGAAATTCGGAGTTCCCCCACTCCTGGCTGCCTGCCCCCAGACACTTCGGTTGTGTGGCTTCAGCGCCAGGGCCCCCCTGGGTGCGTGAGTGTGCTGCCCCAGCAAACAGCTCCTGGGTGCTTCTGTGAGCCGCCGCTGGGTGCAGGCGAACCCAACCAAGGGTACAAGGCTCAAGCAGCAAAAACTGAGTCTTCCCATTCCACAGCTGCCAACCTCTGGACACCACGATTGCACCTTTCCAGAGTGCAGGCCTCCTGAGCCCCAACACCCCAACAGACGGCTCCTGGGTGCCTCTGTGAGCCCCTGCTGGGCACGTGCGATTTCAACTAATGGCACAAGGCAGCAAACATTGGGATATCCCCCTCCCCGGCTGCTGACCTCTGGACACTGCAGTTGCGCCTTTCCAGCACGCAGTCCTTCAGAACCTGCTGCCCCTATAGGCGGCTCATGGGTGCCTCCTTGAGCTCCGGATAGGTGTGTTCATATCCAAATAAGGGCGCACGGCCCTGGCTGTAGAAATTTGGACTTCCCCCTTCCCAGCTGCTTACCCACAGACATCGCCGTCGCATAGTTTCAGCACACAGGTACCCTGAGGCCACTGCCCCAGCAGGTGACTCCCGGGTGCCTCTGTGAGCTGCCACTAGGAGCACTCGTATCCAACCAAGGGCTCCAGCAGGCTGCCCTTGGGTGCTTCTCTGAGCCGCTTCAAGGCACAACTCCGGCTGTAAGCATTCAGTCCCCATGGTAGCACTGCTCCAGCACAAAGGCCCCCTGAGGCTACTGCCCCAGCAGATGGCTCCTGGGCAGCTCTGTAAGCAGCCATTGGGCATGCATATCTAACCAAGGGCGCACATCCCCCAAAGCAGAAACTGGGACTTCTCTCTCCACGTGACCGGTGGCACACCACAATTGATCCAATCCAGTGTGTGGGCCCCATTACACACCCCTTACAGATGGCTCCTGGGCCCCTGTGTGTTGCCCTGTGGGCATGTGCCTCTCTAATCAAGGGTGCACGGCTCCCTCAGTAGGATCCACGACATCCCCCTCCTGGCTACCTACCTCTGAACAGCTTGGTGAGTTACTGAGGACTTGCCTCCATGGACAAAGTCATATTGTTTTAGCCACAGTCCTTGAGATTCCCACATCCCCAGCTGCTGGATCCTGAACTCCCTCGTGATTCAGAGAGGGAAATCACTTTGGTCAGAATACCACTGCCTAAACCACAGACTACGAGATATCTGCCCTCCACTGTCACGGGCTCTGGGCCCCTCGTAGTGAGTTGCAGAGTGATGCTAATCCAGCAAGAGTCACCCACACTGGCCAAAGTCACAGTACCTGATCCTCAGGCCATGAGACACCTTCCTCCCAGGCCAATGGACTCTGGGAATCCACAGTGAGCACACACCAGTGATACCTCAGACAGCCTTTTACACAAGAGCCAGATCCATGATCACATCCAAAACAGCTTGCACAATGAAGCCGGTGGTGAGTTACACTGCCAACCCATGACAAGACTTCATCCTCGAATAAGACACTAACATTCAAGATCCAACTACATCAAGAGAACCCAAATAGCTCAAATAGGGAGCTCTGCTACATTACCAATGCCAGGAGACCTGAGACATCACACCAGTATCATCACCCTCTAAAGAACCTAGGTAGCAAAGCAGTTGGATCTAGAACACAGAAACAAAACATTACAGCAAAACATGGGGAGACAAAAAAACAATCCACAAAGGAAAGAAAAATCACCAGAAAGGGAATTAAATGAAATAGAGGCAAGTAACATGCCAGAGAAAGAATTCAGAGTAATGATTATAAGGATTCTCAAATGGCTGGATGACAAATACACACAACTCAATGAGAATTATAAGGAGCTGAATGAGAATTTCACCAACATGAAAAGGAACCAAGAGAAAATGAAGAATGACATAGCTGCAATAAAGAACAGCTATTGGAAGACTTAAATAGTAGACTAGAAGAGGCTGAGGACCACATCAGCGAATTAGAAAACAGGGCCTAAGGGAGCTTTGGGACAACACAAAACGAAACAACATCTGCATAATAGGGGTACCAGAAGGAGAGAAAGTGGAGCAAGGAATAGAAAACCTGTTTGAAAAAATGACAGAAAACTTCCCTGCTATTGGCAAGAAAAAAAAACCATGCAAGTCCAAGAAGCACACAGAGTCCCAAACAAGATGAATCCAAAAAGACCAACACCAAGACACATCATAATTAAATTGACAAACATCAACAACAAAGTAAGAATTTTAAAGTCTGCCAGAGAGAGACAGAAAGTTACCTACAAGGGATCTCCCATTAAAATATCAACTGATTTCTCAATAGAAACACACCAGGCCAGAAGGGAATGGAATGAAATATACAAAGTGATGCAAAGCAAGGGACTGAATCCAAGAATACCATATCCAGCAAGGCTATCATTCAAAATTAAAGGTGGAATCAGGAGCTTCACAGACAAAAGTGGGCTAAGAGAATTTATTACCATCCAGCCAGCAATGCAAGAAATGCTAAAGGGACTACTGTAAAAAGAAGAAACAGAAAGGCAAGAAGAAACACAAACATTCAAAATAAATATGATGACAAACAAGTTCGTATCAATAATAACATTAAACGTAAATGGGTTAAATGCTCCAATTAAAACATGCACTACCTGACTATATTTGGGCAGGCGCACAGACGTTCAGAGTGAATGAATAAATATGACACCTACTTTTTTGTTAGAGCAACAAAAAATATTTTTGATATGCCTAAGAATTGTAATCAGTGTATGTGTGCCATGAGACACAAAAGGTTGAAAATTGCTGATCTAAGAAATCAGGGATCCAACACAAGAGAACAGTATGTGAGATCCCAGATGACTTTAAAGAAATATGCCTAAAAGCAGGCACAGAGCAGGCCTTTGGAGAACAGGTCTATACTGGAGGAGGATAACAAAAGGCTTCCAAGAAGTGGAACAAATGTGTTCAGTACATGGAAAATATTTTTGACAGGCCTCTGACAAATGTCACAGCATTTTTGGAAAAAAATAGCTGCTAGAAAAGAAGTGAATACACTAAAAAAATTAATTCCGCACACAAAAAAATGAAAACTTACTAGGTATTATGTTAATGTAGCATAAATATAGAATTTTTGTCCCAATAGTCATCTTTCTCTATCAAGTTACTAGATTGTTAGGTATAAACAGTTATTTCTAAAATCAGAGAGACCAGCCTACCTGCTGCATTTGACTCCGTGAGATTATGTTGATGAGGAATAGGGGTTTGGATTATCCTGGAGAAGTGTCGCGGTGCTCAAATCTCAGTAATATTGGGGGTCCCAAAAAAGTATACACATTTGAACAGCTGATAACTCACTTAAGTTTCACTCCTTTTCAGGTTTAACTGATTTGAAATAATGGGCGAAGCCAGACTAAGCTTTGAACAAAGAAAACTTATCCTAAAGTCCTACTAGATTTTTTTTATGGCGAGACATAAAAGATAAAGTTTACAGCACGAAACCGGCAACAGTCCACAAATTGAGGGCACACAAATACAGAATAAAATAATTAATTCTTGACATGTATAATTTTATTGCTTTGTTTTATCAGCAGTGCCTGGACCAGACCAGTCATCAGTTTGAAAATAGGCACTGACAAGAAATATTATTCATTTCTGCAGATTCTTTCAAATTTTGAAACTGAACTGTATGTTAATAAACACTGGCATAATCATTCAAAGTGCATATACATTTGTTGAGCAAAAGAATGAAGGCACAAGAAAGAGGCACAGCCAAAGAACTATATGACTCAGCATTAAAAATATTTACAAAGTCATAATAATGTAGACATTGATTCTGATTTAATAAAAACTATGATACATGTTTTGAGGACAGAGGGAGGGGAAAAAGGCCACACTGGAGGAAGAAACATAAGCTTTCATTTGCCATGACAATAAGCTAAGATATAAACCTAAAAATTGACTTAGCTTTATATTGTTGATCATTTTGTTAAAAATCAAGATTAAAAGTTAAGGCAAAAATTAAGGCAGATATTTATACCACAACCATGTTATTGACATTTAACTTAAAGTTCAGAAGCCCTAAAAATGAACATTACTAAAGCCAAAAACTTTCCTAAATATGGAAGTTTGATCATGAAGATAACAGAAGTGATTTAGAAAATCTACCATGCTAATGATATTGGTTCCATTATATATTGTTAAAAATCGTGGCAGACAATTTTTAATTCAAATTACTAATTTCTTACTAACTTTTAAACCATTTACTTACATGGTAGGAATAGCTGTTCTTCCTCTTTTCTTGCACTAAGAATAAACAAAATTAACCAATCAGTACTGATACCAATGCCACAGAAAAACAGAAGTTACTGATTGCCTGAAAGATTACCAACATACAAAATAAGAACAAATTTTATTCCATTTCTTTTATAACTTCCAACCAAATTTATAATTTAAAGCACCTGGTAAGAGGAGTCCCCTAAGCAAAATCTTAAAACTAAGATTTGCCTTTTTGACCTAATGGATATTCTGTTTTAGTACAAATAAAAGTCTCTCCATGTCCAGAAGAAAAGAGCAAACTAAATTAGGCCAGGGGAGAAACTTAGCTGATAAAAAAGCTTATCTGTTGTGCCTCTGAGCCACTACTCAGTCGTAGTTTCCAATTCTACGTGGATACCCTCTGTACTTGAACCACCAGGATCTAACAGTTGAGGGCTCTAAGAACCAGTTTCTGGCCAGGCACCTGCAAGCATCCTGAACCACTTAGGTAACCACCTAGAATATCTTACTAAGAAATTAAATGCATCTCTACTCAATTGTAAAGTAAACTATCCATTTTAAATTTTAAAGTGAGTGCAGCTAACCTAACTAAACAAGTGTACAAAAACAAAATAGTTTTGCTCTAATAAAGATCTAAAGAAAAAGAAAAGCTCCAAAGAGGGTCTTGGGCTGAACTCTGTTTCCCACTCTGCCTCCTTTAACGTGGGAGGGGCATCATAGGCACACATTCCTTAGGACTGAGGAGAGGGATAGCACTTCCTTTACTCTCTCACCCTCTCTCTACAGGTGAGCAGCCCCTGGCTCTGGAAGAAACTGAGAAATGCAGCAATCCTAAGCAAAATGATCAGCTCCAGACAGTCATGCACACATGCCATGAAAACGCATGTTAAAACCCCCACTTTGTATTGAGCTGCATGGATTCAAATAAAATGGACCCTTCCCTGCCTGTACTTCTGCTGTCACAATCAACTGAAAGACTCGATCCTTGTGCCTTTTTAAGCAAGTAAACTCGATTGAACATAACATTAAGGAAATAAGCAGGCAAGCAGAAGCATTAAAGTCCTACAGTTCTGGTTCTTATCCTAAAACAAACAGGACACAGGAAATGGACATAGTTGCACTTGCTCCTGCTAAGCTTCTAGGGAACCCCATTGGGCTCTGTTCCTCTGATGTACACTGGCAGCATTACATAGGGCAAGAGAGTTTGAATAGCTTCAAATTCTAATGTGAAATAGCATCCTTTGTTTGAGTACTACAAATTCAACCCTCATTTATAAACAACTGATCCTTTTAATTATTCAAATAAAAACCTAACTGTCATTTAAATCCGATCTTGACTTACCGTCCACTTGAGATTTCTTCAGGAAAATTGTGCACGCACTTGGATGGTCAGAAGGGATTAAACCTAAAGCCCAAATACAAAAATACATCATTTAAAAATAGCTACACACCAATTTATACTACTTATAACAGTGTTGGGAAGAGATTTTAAGTAACGGTAACAAGCCACTTTTAGTGAAGGCGATGTAGGAAATGGACCTCTGGGATCCTCCACGTGGTCGGCTTTTGATGGGATTTACTGAATTTCCCAGGTCAAACAGAAAGTCGGGAGGAGGGAAGAGGAACAAAGAACTGTGCACCTGGGCCAGCATCATGATGGAAACCCCTGAGGCATCTGCTTCAGCTAAACAGGGGAGGTGCAGGAAGCTAGAAAGGCTTCAGCCCAATATTGTAAAAGGCCCAATGGGAGACAGCAAGACCTAGGTGACCTATGAGGAAACAGGTGACCCCATAGTACTCAGCCAATGAGGATCTGGAGGAGGGATTAAATAAATAGCCTATGCTCCCCATATCAGGTGTGCCTACGACAAAGGACACCAACTCTGGAGGCCAAATTATTAAATGTCTCATTTTCGCCATACTTCTGTCTCCGGGTCCGTCATTTGAATTCGGACAGATGAGCCATTTCTCACAGCAACAATATAAAAATTCTACTGGGAAAATTTAAAATTGTAGAATCTTTCTATGCATGTGGAATAAATACAAGCTATGCCTAAGACTTTTTTTTAACTTGCACCTAAGTAGTCTATGAATCGTGTACATGCTTCCCCACGTCTACTTGTCAATTAGAAACAGAGTCACTCTCATTTATGCTGATACTAGAGGCCCGGTGTATGAATTGGTGCACACTGAAAGGAAATTAATTAGAAGAAATATTTTAATATTGCTATTCTCCCTTTCTCTATAATAGAAGTGTCAATCAAATTCATGATCGACAATGACAGATCAAAACACACATGTGCAATTGGCACCAGAGAGAGCTTTATATGACTAGCACATGCATGAGTCAACTTAGCCTTTTACATATAGAATAAACTTGCTTAGTTAGACCTGCTTTCTGATTTAGCTAAACTTGTTCCAGCCCAGTGAAGCACCCCAACTTCTCTTTCAGGTAATTGTCAGCAACACAGCAGTAAATACCCACACAAAGCAGATTATTATTGTAGATCACACAGGGAGAACAAATGGTAAAATATTTAACTGCAGCAGTGTTTGACTATATTCTGGGCCATGAGAAAACCTGAAGGCATTTCCAAGGTCCACCATTTCTTATTTCTTTTCAGTCAGATCAAGTTTTTAAGCTTTCTAAATCTCCATTTTCTGGCTAATGAAAAGAAAATAGAATTCCCACTGAGTCTCCTATCTACCTTCTCCAGGACTTCTGTGAGGATTAAATGAGATGAGGCACAGGAAAATGCTTCACAGACATTTAGTTACAGTGTGAAGTGTTTCCACCTGGCTATAAAGCAAGTTGTGTTCCTGGGCTGAAGAAATTGCAAGGAGGCTAGTCATTGCTAGGGAGAGGAAGCCTGGCATTGCTACGTGATGTCATTACCCAGATGGAGGGAAAAACATTTAGCATATTAGCCTTTTATATATGTAGATTACCAGCACATTCCAGAAACAGTTTCAAGAAGCAACTTACACTGTGGCCAATTAGTGTCAGATACCAGCTAATATATCAAATATGCCCAAATCACGTGAGCTGTTTTTGGCAAATGTTCTTTACTCATTAGGCTAATTCTAACTCCATTCAAAACATGAACTTATTTTCTTAGCTGTGGCTTGCTTAGGGCTCCATATCGTGGCACATTTAAAAGGACAGTATAATAGCTCAAGGCTCTAGTCTACAGGAACACTGTCATGACAATGACTTTTTATACTTTCATCAAAGTGATTTTTAAATTCTGCCTTCAATTTCCAAAGTTAAAGTTCCACTTCTTCCTCCCAGGCCACACAATTAATTTGAAGGCTTCAATAAGAATACTTTCTGGACTTGATCATAGGGCTGCTTGTAAAAATGAAATTTGTTGTAACTATGTAAAGGTAGGTGTGCCTGCAGTCCACCTTGCACCAAGGTGGGATAATCTTCTATTTAGGAAAGTATGCCAAATAGATATCTAAATTTAAATAACACAAAGTTTGTCACTTTGTGATATAATAAAGTGATTACTTTAAAAAAACCCTATGATATTCTTTAGTAATGATCATCTGAAACCACTTAACCAATCTTCTAAGAAAGTGGATCAAGATCCTGAGAGAGTAATGTCTAGTCTACAGGAACACTGTCATGACAGTGACTTTTTATACTTTCATCAAAGTGATTTTTAAATTCTGCCCTCGATTTCCAAAGTTAAAGTCTCACTTCTTCCTTCCAGGTCATACATTTAATTTGGGGGCTCCAATAAGAATACTTTCTGGACTTGATCTAGGGCTGCTTGTAAAAATGCAATTTGCTGTAACTATGTAAGGGTAGGTGTGCCTGCAGTCCACCTTGCACCAAGGTGAGATAATCTTCTATTTAGGCAAGTATACCAAATAGATATCTGAATTTTAATAACACAAAGCTTGCCACTACGTGGAATAATAAAGTCATTACTTTAAAAAAAAACCCTATGATATTCCTTAGTAATGATCATCTGAAACCACTTAACCAATCTTGTGAGAAAGTGGACCAAGATCCTGAGAGAGTGATGGTTATGGCAATATTTCCCAAATTGCATAATAATGGTTCTATTTGTTAAAAGGGTATTTGGAAGTCATATAAAAGTAAATGATATTCCTGATTCTTAGAGATCAAAATGCACACTGACGTGTTAAGAACTAATCAGTCTAGTAATGAATAATGTCTAACACATCATTTCACAAATTTATACCTAGAACCCTTTTCCCCCTCCAAGTAATACAGTTAACATCTTGCACAAACATAATTTGGGACATCCTGGTTTCACAGGCATCTGAGCCATCCATTTTGATACTAATGCCAACACTAGAAATTTAAATAACTGCACCAATTGCCTTGTTCTTTAAAAATGTTCCTTCACTGAATTTCAGTTTATTAAATTGCTTTTGTAGAAACTATTCTATTCAACATTTTAATGTAAAAAAACCCACAAAATTATTTTAAAGGTTTTTTCCCACAAATTTGAAAAATAAGACAATGTTAACTACTTGGAAAATAAATGAATTCAGTTGTGTACAAAGTGAGAGGCTGAGACTATCACAGCAGCCTCTAACCTCAGGCTTCTGACAGAATTCAAGACTACTTCCTACCAAAAAGAAAGTAAATACATTGCATTTGAATAAAAAAATATAAGAGCAAATATTTGCAGAAGCAGCCATATTATTGTATCAATGCCAATAAAGTTTTAAAGTTTTAATAACATTTTCAATGGGAAGCCCATGAAAATATGTACTTGAAACAAAGAAGAAGGCTTACACACACACACACACATACACAACACACACACCACACACACAGGCATGCCCCAAAGGAACAGGTGTTGCTATAGCTCTACATACAAAAATCAAGAATGCTGGAATAAAAGAAATGACAACATGCAGAAAAAAATCAAAATTAGCTCAAGTAACAAACAAAGAAACAAACAGCTGAAACTTCCCCTTCCCTACACCTGGGTTCCAGGGCAGGCAGGTGCCTCAGGGCTGGCCAGCCAATCACAGCTGCCTGGGACCTCCCAAAAACCGGAAGAGAAAGGCAGAGCTGAACTCCAGGATCCTTAGAGAGTCTGGAGCTTCGGACTCCCCTTTGCCAGCACGAGGAGGAAGCCTTCTCAGGAGAAATCAACAGGAGAGCAGAACCGAGACAAGTGCTGAGAAGATCCCTTAATTCCTGAATCAAGGAGTACCTTGATTTTCACTCTGTGAACTCTGGTTATAAAGTCAGTACTTCTCTTCAAAAGATTTAAATCTATTTTAAGTCAGTACTTTTCTTTAAAAGATTTAAATCTATTTTAATATAGGTTTTTTTCAACTTGCAGCATATTTGCTGTTTAATGGATACATAATCGCCTATAAAGTGTTGGCTATACTTCACATAGCCAACCTCTGCTGGGGGTTAAGTACTTACATAGTTCTAAAAATTCATCACATATATAGAGTGTTATAACAACCTTTTAAATCTCCTTAGAAAGGCTCTTTAAAATAAAATGACTAGACCAAAAGGTTAGATTGTTTTTATGGCTTAATTTATAAAACTAAGTGGCTTTCTAAAACAGCTGAGGGCATATTAGTGGATAATGCCACCAAGCATATCAGTTTTAGCTTCTACCCAGCTTCCAATACTTACTAAAAATCATGGCTATGTGAGTCAGGAACCTCACCAAATCGAAGTAGCATTTCCTTGAGTGCACAGTGTGACCACAGTTAACAGTGATATTTCCACATCAGTGAGTTGCCTGTCATTTGCATGTATTGTGCCCACTAGGGCCCTAAGGTTGTCAATTTGTATGATGCTTCCATAAAATATTTTCTGTTTATGGCCTAAAATAATTTTATATATAACTTGTACTCTTTACTAAATACTGCGAATGGTTTTTGCAGAATGGTTTTTTTATAGAATGGTTTTAAGCAGCATTTTTCAGAAAGACAATGATTTCCATTTATACTAATAAAATAGAAATGGCAGCAGTTGCTGGGCCCACTGCTGGGCACCTTACTTAAGGCCTCCTGCATTTACTGAACTGCTCTATCCCCTACACCAGTGGTCGGCAAACTCATTAGTCAACAGAGCCAAATATCAACAGTACAACGATTGAAATTTCTTTTGAGAGCCAAATTTTTTAAACTTAAACTATATAGGTAGTTACATTGTTATTAACTTAATTAGGGTACTCCTAAGCTGGCCTTTGCTAAAAACGTCCTCAATCTGAGGGGTGGACCTCAGCGAACGTACCCCCACTTCTTCTAACGCCGTTTCTTCAAAATAGACTCACCCAGGCCGAAAACCAACTTCTGTGCATGGGCCACGAAATTTCACGTGGTATTTTGTGGAAGAGCCACACTCAAGGGGCCAAAGAGCCGCAGTTTGCCGACCACTGCCCTACA